GGGCGGAGGCCCGGGCCGGGGCCGCCCCTCCTCCTACCGGGCTCTCCGCAGCGCCGTGTCCAGCCTGGCGCGCGTGGACGATTTCCACTGCGCCGAGAAGATCGGGGCCGGCTTCTTCTCCGAGGTCTACAAGGTAGGTCTGGCAGAGAGGGCAGAGGGGCGGGACCAAGCCTTAGACGCGAGGCTGGAGCTAGGGGGCCGGACGCGGGCGACCCTTCCGACCTGCCCGGGACTCGCCGGCCCCTGACACCCCCAGGTTCGGCACCGACAGTCAGGGCAAGTCATGGTGCTGAAAATGAACAGGCTCCCCAGTAACCGGGGAAACACGCTACGGGAGGTGCAGCTGATGAACCGGCTCCAGCACCCCAACATCCTAAGGTGAGCGGCCCCAGCCGCTTGCTGGAAAGCTTGCTGGGATAAGGGGAAAGATCCCGCTGGAAAAGTAGAAACTGCGGAGGGGCCAAGTCCCTTACAGCCTACCCTCCTACCTTCCTTCCCCTCTTCCAGGTTCATGGGGGTCTGTGTGCACCAGGGGCAGCTGCACGCTCTTACAGAGGTGAGAATGGGCCAGGAAAGGGGGACCCCCACCACCACCAAAGGGAGAAAGAGTCAACAGCCTGGTGCTTCTACAGAGGAATAGTGAGAGGCCGTCTTCCCTAAACTTCCCTTTGGGCAAACCACAAAAGGCCTCAGCTGTTCTCATCCTCTATATCCTCTGGAACAGTGCTGTCCAAAAGAACTTTCTGCAGTGATGAAAATGTTCTATATCTGTTCTGTGTAAAACTGTAGCCACTAGCCACATGTGGCTAGGGAGCACGGAAATGTGGCTAGTCTGACTGAGAAACTGAACCTTTAATTTTATTTAAACTTACTAATTTAATTTTAAATAGTTGCACGTGTGGATAGGACAGCCCTAGGATATGAATTTGGAACCCTAGAGCATAAGCCCACCCTTCTAACCTTTGTGATCGTCCTGAGTTTCCCCTGGCTTATAAGTGGGGGACCAGAGTACAAACTGAAACCTTGACATCCATTCCCCTTCTCCTCCCACTATGCCCCAGTATATGAATGGGGGAACCTTGGAACAGCTGCTCAGCTCTCCTGAACCCCTCTCCTGGCCTGTCAGGCTCCGCCTGGCTCTGGACATCGCCCATGGCCTGCGATACCTGCATGCCAAAGGTGTATTCCACCGAGACCTCACATCCAAGGTAGGCTGGCCAGATAGGTAGAGGCATGAAGGGGTATTAGACTATTGGGTTGTGAATGTTAGAATGTGGGTAATATGTTAGGATGTTAGAGTAGCAAAGCATAGGGGGACTGGGGTCAGGGGGTGTGTTCTGAGGGGCTGAGTACCACACTGTGTTTAGAGTGATGGATGGTGTTGCAAGATTGGGGTATACTGGAGAACAGGGAGAAGACTGGGGTTATTCTGAAGTGACAGAGCTTTGAGTTATAAATTGGGAGATCAAAGAGCAGAAGGTGATAAGTGTGTGGGGATGCTATATGTATATATCAGAACTGTCTGATCCGTCGGGAAGACCGAAGCTTTACAGCTGTTGTGGGTGACTTCGGGCTGGCTGAAAAGATTCCTGTGTATAGGTGAGCTGAATGCCCCTGTTCCCCCAAACCTCCCAGAAGACCCTTATCTAAATGAAGCCCCCCAGGGATGTTTCCCCTGCAGTGGGGAGGGGGTTGACCTCATCCCCGTTTATTTGGGGAGGGTATCTAAATGGGATGTTTCTGACCACTCTGCCCCTTCCCCTGCCCCTGCCCCTGCCCCTGCCCCTGCCCTGCAGGGAAGGGGAAAGGAAGGAGCCATTGGCTGTGGTGGGTTCCCCATACTGGATGGCTCCAGAAGTGTTGCGGGGTGAGCTATATGATGAGAAGGTAAGACATCAACCCTTCAGATCCCCAAGGTCTTCCAGAGACCCTTGAGATACTCTTATGAGTCCCTATCCCAAATTTCTCAACAACCCCACCAGATATTTAGGAGGCCCCCAAGACAGCCCTCCCCCTTGCCCCTCACAGGCTCCCCTCCAACACATGGAAACTGTCAAAACTCCCCCGTGAATTCTGGCACATTCTAACAAAATTCTGACATGGAAACTGTCAATTCCTCCCCCTGACATTATCTCCTACCCCCAGGCCGATGTCTTTGCCTTTGGGATTGTCCTCTGTGAGCTTATCGCACGAGTACCTGCGGACCCTGACTACCTACCCCGTACTGAGGTGAATGATATCTCCAGGTTTGAAAAGGAGGAACTCCAGCCCTAGCCAGTTTGGCTCAGCGGTTAGAGCGTCGGCCTGTGGACTGAAGGGTCCCAGGTTTGATTCCAGCCAAGGGCATGTCCCTCTGTTACAGGTTCAATCCCCAGTAGGGGCGTGTGCAGGAGCCAACCAATTGATGTGTCTTTCACATCAATGTCTATCTCTCTCTTTTTCTCTCTCCCTTCCACTCTCTCTGCAAAGCAATGGAAAAAATATCCTTGGGTGACGTGAGGATTTAAAAAAAAAAAAGGAGGAACTCCAGGTTGGGCAACTTATAACCAAGAAGAGTTCCCTGGAACCTGAGAGCTTGAGGCCCTGATTTGGGGCAGAAGGAGAACACAAGGAAAGCTGACTTGGAGGCTCTTCCTTTCTGTCCCCGCAGGACTTTGGCCTGGATGTGCCTGCTTTCCGGACCCTGGTAGGAGATGACTGCCCACTGCCTTTCCTGCTCCTGGCCATCCATTGCTGCAGTGTAAGAGCCTCACCCTCCCTGCCCTCCACCCCTGATAAGGCTGTCCTATCCCAGGTGATGGGAGGAGAACTCAGGGACCCGTTTTTGGAGCACTGAGTGAAGCTGACTCTGTCTCCTGTCTCTACCCATCAGATGGAACCTAGCGCTCGTGCTCCCTTCACCGAAATCACCCAGCACCTGGAATGGATCCTGGAGCAACTGCCTGAGCCAGCCCCCCTCACCAGGGCTCCCCTGACTCACAGTCAGGGTAAGTGAGCATGACCTTGACCCAACTGGAGGCCTTTGCCTCTCTCCACCTTAGAACTCAGGGAATTATCTAGGGGAGACTAAGTGTATTTATCAGTTGAGAAGGCTGGGGATGGGGGCAGGGGTGAAAGGATACCTCAAAGAAGATAGTTTTCTAATTCTAGAGCCTTAAAGAAGGAAAGAAGGAAAAAGGTAAAAAGTGGCTGGAGGTGACATCTCCCCCTTTGCAAAGCACCGTCAGACTCCCTTTTCTTAGCTCTAGTGCCACCAGTCTCCTGGTGAATAATGAGACCCTCAAGAAGCTTTCAGTGCTGAGAACAGTGATCACAGACTCCTCTGTCAACAGGGTCCGTTCCAAGAGGGGGTCCCTCTGCCACGCTTCCCAGGCCAGACCCCCGGCTCTCCCGAAGCCGGTCAGACCTCTTCCTGCCCCCATCACCAGAATCACCCCCCAACTGGGGGGACAATCTGACTCGAGTCAACCCCTTCTCACTACGGGAAGACCTCAGGGGTGGCAAGATCAAGCTCCTGGACACACCCAGCAAGCCAGTCACCCCCCTGCCCCTTGTACCACCATCACCACTGCCCTCTATCTGGCTGCCCTTGGTGACCACTCCAGAGACCCTACTCCAGCCTGGGACACCTGCCCGTCGCTGCCGCTCATTACCATCATCCCCTGAGCTCCCCCGACGCATGGAGACAGTACTGCCAGGTCCTGGCCCCCCCTCTGTGGGCCCCTCGGCTGATGAGAGAATGGAGTGTGAGGGCAGTAGCCCTGAGCCAGAACCCCCAGGACCAGCTCCCCAGCTGCCCCTGGCTGTGGCCACGGACAACTTCATCAGCACTTGTTCATCAGCCTCCCAACCCTGGTCCCCTGGATCAGGACCTTCCCTTAACAACAACCCCCCATCTGTGGTGGTGAACTCTCCACAGGGCTGGGCCAGGGAGCCCTGGAACCGGGCCCAGCATAGCCTTCCCCGGGCGGCAGCCCTGGAACGGACAGAACCCTCGCCGCCCCCTTCAGCTCCTCGGGAGTCTGATGAGGGGCTGCCTTGCCCCGGTTGCTGCCTGGGCCCATTCAGCTTTGGCTTCTTGTCTATGTGCCCCCGCCCCACACCAGCTGTTGCCCGCTACCGCAACCTGAACTGTGAGGCAGGCAGTCTCCTCTGCCACCGAGGGCACCATGCCAAGCCACCCACACCCAGCCTTCAGCTGCCCGGGGCACGTTCTTAGCAGTGGAGCCTCCAACTTTGACCTTCAGGATGCCCTGTGAGGACAGCGCACATGCTGGATAGTGCCATCCCCAGATGGGCCGACCAGCTCCTCTATCTGAATAGGGGAACCTCAGCATGGACTCGAGGGAAAGAACATTTCCTATCCAACCCCTGGGCTTGCTCTCCCGTGGGGACCACACAGCATTGCTGACACATGAGACTAACACGTGCAAATTATTTAAAAATATTTCAATAAAACTGCCTGGCTGGCTCCGGGCTGCCCCATCCGCTCAGCCCATGCGCCCTCCTCCCCTCAGCTCTCCCATTCCACTATGGGAGGTTCTTGGGGAGGCCAAAGTCTCTTCTAGAGATTTCTGCACCCTTTTCCCAGGAATAGTCCAGTGTCTGGGACAGGACTTCAAGCAGGCAGCAGGATGCCTGGAAGTGTTGGGCATAGATCAGCCCTTGGCCAGGCACCTTCCAGGCAGACGGAGGGAATGCTGGAAGGAGATAATCATAGGAACTGTGGCTGCGGGTTAGGGATGAGGGGCACAGGCTCTTGTTGGCATGAGGATCTGGAAGAGTAAAATATCAATGAGCTCCACAGTTCACTGTCACTAAGAACCCTCATCCAGCTTATCCCATCTCCTCCCCAGCTCCCTGGACAGTCACATCACCAGCCTCCCTTCAGTTCCAGGCCTTCCCTGCCCCTCTGCCTGTGCAACATTCCCTTACATAAGTATACCAAGCTCCTGGAGGCTGTGGGTGTGACTCACTCCCAGGAACAAGTCCCTTCCCCCACAGCAGCTGGACCCCTGCTCTGAGTCCCTGTCCCTCCAGGCTCCCATGCCTCAGTCCCATCCCTCACACTTACTCAGCTCAGTGCTTATCTGGGTACCTAAAAGCTTCTATCTCACAGATGCAGGGAAGAGGAGTAATACACTCTATGTAGGATATCCAACTTCTTTGTAGGCTGCTACATTTCTGCTTTTGTAAAGAATACCTAAAGAGTGATGAAATAGAGCTGGGATAGGCTCTGGCCCTCTCCCTTCCCCTCCTTCCTCTCCCTTTGCCCTGCATAAAACCTAGCCCAAGTCCTAGCTCACCCTACCTACCTAAGGCCATGTTTGGGTATGGTTCAGGAACAGATATCTGGACTCCAACCCAAAGAGGCTTTAGGACCAGGGGAAGGAAAAGTCAGCCAAGATTTTAAAGATGGAAACTCCATTTAGGGAACATAGAAGGTGACCATTCTGTTTCAGGGTCCCTGGAGTTGATCCTCAAAGTTACCCTCCTGCTCCCATACTTCCCTGGGGCAACTCTAGTGCCCTAGGTGGCCCTGACTGAGAAAGTACAACCTCGGTTTGGGTGGCCTTTTCAAGGGACAGGAAGTTAGAATGCCAGGGTTCTTCATCAGCTGTAAAGCCCAAGCTTCTGAGGGGAAGATGACATAGGCCCAACCTAGTAATTGGTAAAAATAAAAGCACGTACCAGGCATTGCTAGGTACTGGAGATAGAATAGAGAATAAGAATACCCTAAAGAGATTAATAGAGGAAATGGAGAAGTAGGCAATTACAGTATTGATCTGTGAAAGGTTTGGGAGCAGGACCTGAAGGGAAATCTCATTACTATGTCTTTATGAAGGGATTATGGAGTTGAAGATTCCCCAAAATCCTAGCAAACTTACCCAGAGCCTCTTCCACCACCAGTCCCCTGCCGGTTCTTCATCCTCCATTCAACCCAATATGGACCAGATGGATCTACCTGTTCCAACACCTTATGTAAGATGCCATCATAACTCTGAGGGAGATTCAGAGATACCAGAGGTGTGTGGAGAGTGATGAGAAATAGTGGAATGGGGGGAGGGTGTAAAAAAGGGGACCTGGGCTGGTGGAAGAAAGTAAATAGTAGGGAGACGCAGGAGCTTTGACAAGAGGACTGCGCCCATCTTTGGTGCATGGCACAGCTCATTGTTGACCTATCCCTGCATCCTCTGAGTGCTCCAGGCTCATCCTTCAGTTCGTTTCCCAGCTGGGTAAGAACTTGTCAGCCTTTGAAGGGGAGTCCTTGTGGGCTGCTATGGTCACAAGGAAACAATCCCTATGATCTAGCTCACCAGGTCTGGCCTCTCTGCCTGAGGGGTCACAACAGTCAATCTGTTAAGCAGCCCAGAATGCTGACCAGAAAGCTGAAATGAGAAACAGGTAAAAGTAAAGATGGTTCAGAAGTCAACTCTCATGCCAACTCTAATCCTTGGAGCTGCCTGGAGCATTGTGCTGAGGAGCTGCATAGAAAAGGAATGCAGCCCTGACCAGTGTGGCTCAATTGGTTGGAGCTTCATCCTGTGCACCAGTCTCTGTTTGATTCCCAGTCAGGGCACATACCCAGGTTGTGGGTTTGATCACGGTTACTGATCGATGTTCCTCACATTGATATTTCTCTCTCCCTCTCCCCCTTTTCCCCTCTCCCTTCCTCTCTCT